TTTTATGTAAATGAGGCACCAAACTCCCAATATTTGTCCGATTGGGACAAAATTTTGCTCAGCGCACTGAATCAGGTCCATGATTATGTGTATGGAGTTTCGTTGGAATCGGTTCAGATTTAGATATTGCTCCCATATATAGTTTCGTCCGATTTTATGTAAATGAGGCACCAAACTTCCAATATTTGTCCGATTGGGACAAAATTTTGCACAGCGCACTGAATCAGGTCCATGCTTATGTGTGTGGAGTTTCGTTGGAATTGTTTCAGATTTACATATAGCTCCCATATATAGGTTCGTCCGATTTTTTGTGAATGATACACCAAACTCCCAATATTTGTCCGATTGGGACAAAATTTTGCACAGAGTACTGAATCATGTTCAGATTGATGTCTGCAACGTTTTGTTAAAATCGGTCCAGATTTAGATATAGCTCCCATATATAGTTTGGTTCGATTTTTGGTGAATGATACACCAAACTCTCAATATTGGTCCGATTGGCACAAAATTTTGCACAGAGTTCTGAATTAGGTCCGGACTGATGTCTGTGAAGTTTTGTTAAAATCGGTTCAGATTTAGATATAGTTTGGTGTATCATTCACCAAAAATCGTCCGATCATCCGATACATCAAACTCCCTATATTGGTCCGATTGGCACAAAATGCATAATAAATTTTTTTCTATAAAAATTAATATTGTATTGGAAAAAATATATATTTTTCTATTTATTTTTTCCCATATTTTTTTTATAAAAATATTTAATTTTTTTTTTATACAGAAAAAAAAATTTTATACAGAAAATATTTTTCTATAGAAAAAAATGCATATTTTTAATACATTCAAATTATATGGTTTTTCCCATATTTTTTTATAAAAATATTTATATTTTTTTTACACAGAAAAAAATCTCACCAATCCCCACCTGATGTTATTTGCATTTCATGCACCGGCTTGTTGGTGTGTTTTGTTGTTGTGTGAAATTTGAAACGATTTGACATATATGTTGATCGTCATGTCAGATATTAATCACAGATTTGTTTTCTATTTTTTGAGATATTGACAAGACAACTGTCATAGCAGCCACAAACACTTGCCGGGCTCTCCTCAGCTACACCATAAAAAAAAACAAAAACTCGGTGAAATTTGCATTGAATGGAAACGATGAATAACTGTAAATGGTGGAAAGGGTGTATAGAGAGGATGAGGGAGGAGTCTAGTGTTGTCAGTTGCTTGCAGTTACAAATCTAATCACCTGTCATTTGTAGAGGTAGACAAAAAATCAAAATCAGTTTATAAGTCATGCCACTTGTGTATATGGAAGTTCGCGGACAATATGGAGATTAAATGGCATTGTTTTTTTTTTGTATTTTAATAAAAAACAATATTGATTCTGTGAAAATAAAAATGCAAATTCCAATATTCTTATGTTTAATGCGGTAATAATAATGGTAGTTGTTAAAATTCAACTTTTATTAAGCCATTAGTGTAGATCAAAAGGGTCAATACCAATATGCATAATAATTGCCGTCTTAACTTTTTGATAGCCTTTGTAAAAGGCCAATAACTATTTTGTTTAATTGCACATTTTTTTACACACCACCACCTCAGATATTCTAGTCTGGGCGGCGGCATGTTCTCCATTGTAATTCTAGACGCGAGTAAATTTAAATGGTTATTTTCACAGGGATTTTTATCTTAAAAGCTAAAATAAATGACATGGCCATAAAACCTAAACCTTTTTTTTTTAATGGAAACCCATTAACAAGGGGAAGTAGGAAATTAAAAAATTTATTTTTTGTCACTCTCATGGCGCGATATTTTCTTTACTGGCATTTATGACTAGGATTTATTTAATTATGTTCAGGGGAATTTTTTATTTTTTTTTAAATAAAAATAATTTTTTTCAATAAAAAATATTTTTTTAATAATAAAAAAATATTTTGTTTAAAAAATAATTTTTTCTTAAAAAAAAACTATTTTTTCTCTAGGATTTTTTTTTATAAACATTAATATTTTCGTTATAGAAATATAGTTTTCTTATTTTGATTTTTTCCATGGAAAAAATTAAATTTTTTTATATCGAAAAATATTTATTTTTTAAATCTATTTTTTTTCTATCAATAAGCATTTTTTTATTTCAAATATTTCTGTTTTTTTTTTGTTTTTTTTTTTTTTTTGTATAAACCCTTTGGCCCATATTTTTTATATTAAAAAAAGTTCCAAATCCCCTACCAATATTTTTTTATACAAAATAAGTCCTCTTGTTTTGCTATTTTACATAAAACACATTGAAAACAAGCGTTAAATTGCAAAGAAAGTATACGCTCTAAGGCATTACAGTCGTGGTCAAAATAATAAACACCCTCCACACACACGCACACTCTGCCACAAACAAGTGTTTTTTTATTTTTGCACACAAAACATAATTGCAATTTCTAAAGACGTACGATACAAAGAGTCTTTAAGAAATCACAGCAAGTAAAGAGAAAAACAGAGATTTATTTATTTCACAGTCGGGCGAAGCACCGCACGCGTGCACTCTCGCGAGAGTAAGTATCGCTATTCTCTCACACACATTCAACTGAACCAATTGAAAAACCATTGACACACACACAAAGACAAGTGCGTGAGAACAGAATTTTTTATACTCTGCCCGTGCCTGATTTATTTTGTTTACTGAGCAACAGACTCTTTTAACTGTTCAATGAAGTCTCCATCTCGACTCTCTGAGTACAATTTCTAATTAGTTTTTTAAATGAAGGTAAACAAATACATGTTTTGCTTTGCTCACAAGATGTTGTTTATGGCTTGCTGTGTGTGAGCCATACTCTGTGTGTGTGTGTCACCCTGTGTCTGAGGCGCTCTGTGTGTGTTTGTCTCACTGTGTGCTGTGGGGGGAGTTGGGTGGCTGTGTGGCTGTTGTTTGTTTGGTTATGCTCAAAATATATTTGCAATTTTATTGCTGTTATGCTATGTTTTGTTTCATTGTTTGTTTGTTCGCCCGACTATCGTCTTTGCCCGACTACCTTCTTTGCCTTCGTATTCTTAAGTAGCCGGCTTCGTTGTTTTGTTATGCTATGCTCATATATTGATGTTTACCCTGAGCCTCTCTACACTCTATTGGAAAACTATGCTCTTTACATTTACCTCGTTGCTTATTAAACTCGTTGTTGTTACTCGTATTATTGCTCGTGTTGTTGTTGCTGCTGTTGTTATTGTGGGGTTTTGTTATTGCAACTTAACACTGTGTGCTAATGCCAAAGCACCTGTTTTCCGTTTTATTTATGATGTGTGTGGTGGGGATGGATGGGAGCTCGTTCAGTGTATGGGTGCGTGTGTGTGCATGCCTGTCTCATAGTTGGGGGTTTTCTTCTTGTTGTTGTTGCTGCTGTGCATTAAAAGTTTTTTGTGTTGTGTGAGGTTTGTTTTGCGGTTTCTGCGAGCATTATCTGTTGAGTATTGAGTGTTGGGAGTGTGAGTGTGTGTGTCGATTACATACAATGGCTAGCCACATCGAGACAGCCACCAAGAGTGTCTTTAAGTCTCAAGCAAGCATTCATAACGTCTTTAAACGTCGAGCTTAGTGCACGTTACGTTAAATGTGAACGCGCTTGAAAAGCTGTAAATACAAACAGAGCTTGATTGTTTCTTGTTTTAATAAATAAGAGAACGGGACTTTTAACGAAAATACGAAAAATTATCAAATAAAAAATTAAAAAATAAATAAATTTTTAAAAATTAAAAAATGTTTTTAATACAAAAAAAAAATTAAAATGTGAAAAATTAAAAGATATGAAAAAAATTATAAATTTGTGATGAAAAATAAACGTTAAAAAATTATATGAGAAAAAATCTAAATTTGTAATTAAAAAATAAACTGAAAAATTATGTAAAAAATTAAAAAAAATTCAATTAAAACAAACTTAAAATAATTTTGGGGAATAAAAAAACCGACAAAATATTAAATTAAATTTGGAAATAAAAATTTCGCAAAAAATTAATAAATAAAGATAAACTAAAAAATTTATGTTTTGGAATTTAAAATTCCGCAAATAAAAAAATAATTGAAAAATAAACATAAACAATAAATAAAGAAAATATTTGAATTATTTTAAAAATAAAATTTCCAAATAAATAAAAAATTAAATTATAAATTTAATAAAAAAATTAAAATTAATTTCAACTAAAAAATTAAATTTGTTGGAATTTAAATTCCGTAAAATTAAAAAGGACAAACTTTAAAATCTAATTGGGAAAATTAAAATTTCTCAATTGTTGTAACACAAAAATTCACCTAAAAAATATTAAATTTTCCAAAACAAAAATAAAACAAACTTCAAAAAATACTCAAATTTACCAAAAAACAAACTTTCATTTGTGGGTAAACATTTGAAAAATATTCAAAATGCTAATGGTTATATTTCCAAGCATAAAATTAGCAAGAAAATGACAGCTATTAGCAAAATTAAAATATTGCAGCACACATTTCAAATATCTTAATTAGAAAAAAATATATAAAAATAAAAACAACAACAACAAAAAATTCCAATCAATGAAAGTTTGTTCAACAGAAATTATGCAAACTAAAAATTTTACATTTTTCTTTCTCTAAAAACAAAAATTAAAAAAAAATACAAACACCAAAAAACTGGTCTCAAAACCCCATGGACTCTAACAACCGACGACTGCACATAATTGTCGGTCTCTTAGATTTGCATAAATAATTAAGTGACCATCCATACCCCCACCATCAAAGAGAAATTGTTAACAGTGCAACAAAAAAACAACTTTTTTACCTAAACATGTTGATTTGGAAAAAATAAAATTTTGAAAAATGTTTTTGAATTTTGTGTCAATAGTGTTCAATAATCCATAATTGTCATGGATTGTTTTTTTGAAAACTGAATTTTCACACAACGGATTTTTTTCTTTAAATCGCTCAACAAATTTTCCCATTGGATATTTATCAACATCATCAAACAACAACCAAGAAAATTTGAAACAGCCATCAAAATGTGTTCGAAAAATCAAATGTCCACATTAATGGAGAAATTGAATACGGTAAGTTTTTGGGAAAAAAGAAAACACAATTTGGAGAAAAAAAATTAAAAATAAAAATTAGAAGAAAAAATAAAAAATCATTTAAAAAAAATGTAGAAATTGAAAAAATGAGGCCTAAAGAAAATTTATTACCCATTTTCTATAGAAAAAATTCGCAGACCATTGGGGAATATTTCTTCTGAAGATAGTGGCTATTTTTTCTATAGAAGAATTAGAAACCACTTTTTGTTTAGAAAAAATCCATGGCCCTCTAGAGTTTTTTTCTATAGAACATTTTTAGAGATAGAGGCTATTTTTTCTACAGCAAAAAATCGTAGCACCTTAGGGGTCATTTTTTTCTCGGTAGAAAAAAATGCGAACCATTTGAGGCTATTTTTTGGATTGTTTTTTTTTTAATTATTTTTTGAGGTTCCTCTATAGGGGATGGGTTTTAAAAAATATATATTTTAAAGTTCCTCTATAAGGAGTGGATTTTCCGCTATTAGCCGTGAATTTTTTAAAAATATTTTTAGGGCCCTATAGAAGGCGTGGACTTTTAAAAAATATTTTTTAGGTACCTCTATAAGGCGTGATTTTTTTTCAAATTTAATATAGAGACCACCTATAAAATATTTAAATATTTAATTAATTATGTAATATTGCCACATTACAACAATGTCCTAGAATAAAAATTCTTGACTAAACATGTCGTGTACGATTTTTTTCTAAAGACAACTATTTTTTTAAGATTTATTTACTACAACCAACTCTAGCTAATAAATCAATTACGATTTACAAGATAGAACAACAATGTCCATATGGTAATACGTGATCGGCAAATAATCCTGCTAACCCCCATTGGACAAGAAAAACCAGAAACAACAACAAAGAATTGTTACTGGACCAAACAAATGCAAAACAATTATTGTGGTTATGTGGCACACATTTTCTGTTTTTTGTTTCTTCTAAGACGAAGGGGTCCCAGAAGAGGGGAGAGGGTGTTGCCGGTTTGGTTAAGACTAAAAAGACCAGAATCTTTGAAAAATATACCCCTCCATGACTTATGTAACCTCATTTCCATAATATGAAAAAAATATATACCAACACCCGATGGACCCGGCATTACTTCACAATCCACCACCACAAAACGTTCATCTGTAAGTTAGACAATGAATGGCTTGGCTTTTGTGGCCGGCTAGTAAGCCAGTCAGTTGGACCTGGCCACCAGCACCACTCACCATTTGGCCAGCAATAGAAGAAAATACCATTCCGCATAAGAATGGGAGAATTGTAAAGTCGGTTTTTTTTCAGTTCAGTTCATCAGACAACTGTTTGCTGCCGGCTGCAACAGCAGCTTTACAATCGACATTCAAATGCTGATCAGCCGACAACGAGCATGGTCACCACCACCAGCCAAAAAATTGTTGGAGCTTATGCTTGCATTGAAGTCTTTTGAGTGGCTCAGACATGGATACATAGATGGGGTATTAAGTGAGGGAATTTTGCTTTAAAAAAAATTAGGTTTTTCCATAGAAAACAAATACCAGTTCTATTTTTTTCTGGCTTCAACATAGGGTATAGAATTTTTATACCCTACATAACTATGTTGTCAGGGTATTATAGCTTTGTGCAGACCCAAGAGTTTGTAACGCCGCGAAATATTGGTCCTACACCCACCTTTAAGTATACCGATCGTCATATCTCGTCTAGCTGAGTCGATCTAAACATGTGTGTCCGTCCGTCCCTCCGTCTGTCCATTATAATTTGTAGACACGATACAGGCCACAGTTATGAACCAAACTTTACGAAATTTTGCATGTAGGATGGGTTCGGCCCGATGAAGACCCCTATTGTTTTTGGTGAATATCGGTAAATATTCAGGGGATGAAATGGGCCAATTTTTTTTTAATTTTTGTCGTTTTTTTCTGGTCGCTCCAGAGGCCACAATTATGGCCCGAACATCGCGAAATTTTACATGGAGAAGGGGATCGGGCCAAAGAATAAGCATGCCTGTTTTGATAAAGATCAGCCACTATTTAGCGGGTAAAATGGACCCTGACTTTTGTGTGAAAATGAAAAATGGTAAAATTTGTATTCTATGGCGTATATTTTTACCCCTGAAGGACATAGACCCGAGAAGTTAATACTATATCCAAGAGGAGTGGTTGGCCTTTAAATTAATACCAATTATATGATCGTATGTACTCAGATGTGGGAGTTATACTTAAATATTTACAGGTGCTTAGGTATTCAGATATCATTTAGTAACCCATTACCAAACTAGAGGCCGGAAATATAGCGCTGATCGCTTTGAAAATTTTCATGAGGATCTAGGTTGACCATACCTGGACAACCTGACAAAGCCTATAATTTTCGGTTATGGTCAGAAAATAATTTTGGAATGAAGTGGACCGAAAACTTATTTTTTTGTGTTTTTGCGAGTCGATCTATAGGCCACAATTGAAAGCCGAACCTCACAACACAACCCACGGTGAAGAGAATTTGGACTAGTTAATTAGAAGGGCTGTCGGTGAAGAGGGTGCAAATATCGCAAAATATTCCTCAAGCTCAGAATATAAAACCACAGAAAGTTAGATTTTCGTGGAAGTTGTGTATGCTATCTATGGTCGGCCCCGTCCGACAAATACTGCTCCCCTCACTGGTTTTAAAATATTTTTTTCGGGTTCAACATATGGCGTACAATTTTTACAAATATTTCTTTTGGTCTGAACACAGGTCGGACCCTGTAGCTAACCTCTAAACCGAACTTTTTGGCCCTATCAATTGAGACAAAAATAAAGCCTAAAATCTTACACCTTTTGGGTAAGATTAATTTAATGAAGCATAGTATGGCAACCCTACATTTTAGAGTTATGAGTTGTTTACAAAACTTGTACAGGGCACTTTGAAGAATATTTTTGTAAAACATATCAACCCTCTAACTATGCTCTGAAGAGGACTAAAGCCCTAGAATTCACCAAAAACTATTAAAATATCTAAAATGATTTTTGGTTTTGTGTAAGATTTTATTTGGAGCTCAACATGGCAACCCTAAATTTTAGAGTTTTGAGTTGTTTACAAAACTTGAACAGGGCACTTTGAAGAATATTTTTTGTAAAACATATGAACCCTCTAACTATGCTCTGAAGAGGAATAGAAATTACCAAAAATTAGTAAAAAATCTAAAGTGAATTTTCATTTTGAGTAAGATTTTTTTTGAGGCATAACTTGGCAACCCTACAGTTTACGATTTAACATTGGTAGAGAATTTTTCTAAAAACATAATGAAGAATAATTTTTACAAACACATTAACCTCCTAGCTAATCTCTGAAGAGGACTTTTTGGACACAAATGCCATACCAATGTGCAGGAAAAGTTCAACATTAAAAAAAAATAAAGTAGATTTTAAAAAATATTTTTTTTAGGGCCCACCATAAGACATAATTTTTTTTAAATGTTTCTAATGTCCAGAAATTTTCTAACAGTTACGGAGATTTATTTTTTCCATGAAAAAAAAAAATCCAGAATTTTGTTAAACCCACCTCTTAATATCTTGAGGAAAAAATCTCAGTTTCTCCCAAAAACAGAACTGCCAACATTTAGCAGATTTTTGTTCGGATATTTTTATTTATTTTTTTTTTTTTTTTGTAATTTTTCGAAGTTTTTTTTATACTGGTTAAACTTGGCTTGAGGTTTTCTGCTGCATCCGACTTCGAACCGAAATGCAGCCACAGCATGAAAATGGCTCTTAAGAAGAAAAACAAAAACAACTCCTATAGAAGTTTGGAGCTCAGCTTCAATTTTTTTTTGTTAGCAACCAGCTGATGTTCTTGTTGTTATTGGTAGTTTGTTTTTTATTGGAATATATGTTAATAAGGTTACATAACTGTTTCTTTTTCTTGTGGTTTACCAAAATAAAAAAACACACAGTAGAAAAAACAATTGATAAGAATGAAACAAAGAATGGGTCGGAGGGAGAAGAAAAATAGAAGCTGGCTTGGAACACCATAGCCATTATTGATTAAGAAAAAAAGGGGACAATGGCTATTTTATTTATTTTTTGGTTTGTTTTTTTTTTTTTTTGCAATTTTGAAAGAATATTTTTTTATATAGGCCATGTAGTGCGTCTATAAAAAATATTTTGTCTATAATGCGAAATATCTCGTTTAAATAATTAATTATGCATTGTTTTGTTCTACTAACAATATTGAAATATTTGCATAAAATATTCTAAAAATCAATTTCATCACTTTCACCTCTTTTCAAAAAAAAAAAAAAAATGTTTTAAATGCCAATATTTTGAGGGTATTTTTTATTGCCGTTTTTTAGGAAGTAGGGAATGGGGGCAAAATATAAATATTCAAAAAAAAAAAAAAAATATTTAAAATAAAAGCACATCAGATATTTTGAATAGAAAATAAAACTCGATTCTAATGGGTATCTCAAGTTCGTTTTCTATGAGATGGTATTCATAAGGGAGCACGCATTTTTTCCATTGAAAAAAAGATGGTCTCATAAACCTGGAATTTTAAAATCCGAGGGAAATTTTGATACTCTCAAAAATATTTAAAAAATAAATACGCCTTGTAAAAATTAAAACAAAATATTTTTAAAAATGTAGGACTCTCTTGGTCCTTTGAAAAGTATTTTTGAGCCTCAAAAAAAATTTTTACAAAATCCACGCCTTGTGTAGAGTCTCTAAAATATATGTTTAAGGACTCTCTTGGACCTTTGAAATGCATTTTGGAAAATATTTTTAGAAAGATCCACCACGCCTTGTGTAGATCCTTAAAAAATATAGACGGACGGACGGACACATATGTCTAGATCGACTCAGCTAGTCGAGATATGACGATCGGTATACTTAAAGGTGGGTCTAGGACCAATATTTCGCGGCGTTAAAAACTCAAACTCCACTCTTTGTATTGAGGCTTCAGAAAATATTATTTTAAAACCATGCCATGTGATGAGCCTCAAAGAAATTTAAATTTAAATTCGGGCCGTATATTGGAACCAAGAA